CAAAATCAAATTGGTTCTGCATGAACAGTAGCAGACCGAAATCATCCCCCTTAAACCCTAACTTGATTTCATCCAAAATCAATCCATACACCACTTAATCTTCCTTATTCCACTTGATTACCAAGTTTTCTATCCTTCCCTAAGCATCACACATCTCAATTGAATTTTTCATAATTTCTCAGCATTTTTCCAGTATTTTTCCAAGCAAAAATCCTTGTTTAATCAATGTAAAACTTAGGGATAGTGATGCTTGGAGATACCTTAGTGTTTTCTTCAAGTAAGTTGAATGATTTCTTGCCTAAATTTTTGAATGACATGGCAGACACGCAGGCGTTTGATGTGTATTATTTTGACTGAAGCTCCCGAGACAAGCCGAGTGGTGGCGGGTCCTTTCTCAAGAGGCAACGGCGATATCGACGGAGTGACCAAAGGGAAGTTTACTGTGTTCTATAAGGAGGAAAGCAAATGCGAGTAGAATGAGGAGTCGACAGAGACAGAGACAAAAGTGTGCTGTGACAGCGGTTGACGTTTCAAATCGGAGTGGTGGAAGAAATGAGATAAAATGTTAAAAATGAGGATGAGATTGAATGGGTAGTACATGTACCGGGATTTAAGAGGGTGGATCGATGGTCTTTTTTTTTTTAAGTTTAAAAGCTAGCAGAAGATAAACGTTAGAAGAGGAGGAAATAAATTGAATTTTCAGTCAAAATAATATACATCAGATGCCTGCGTGTCCGTTATGTAGGATTTTTCGATCAACCTTCAGCTGAGTCAGCAAGGTAATGGTCAAACAAGACTTTTCTGTTAGCCTGGGATGTGGATGCACTGTTTTAATTAGTTTAGGACACTGGATGCACCAAAAATTACTTTAGGACACTGGGCGTACCTGGAAAAATAGTTCGGGGTGCTGAATGCACCTTAACCCATCAAAATAATACACATCAGACGCTTGCGTGTTTGTCACGTAGGATTTTTTGGTCAACCGTCGGCTGAGTCAGCAAGGTAACGGTCAAATTTAACTTTTCTGTTAGCCTGGGATATGGACGCACCGTTTTAATTAGTTTGGGATACTGAATGCACCGAAAATTACTTTAGGACACTGGACGCACCTGGAAAAATAGTTTAGGGTGTTGGGTGCACCTTAACCCTGTATCTTATTCATGCCAACAATATCTGATTTTTCATGCTTGTATTATTACAGACGAAGAGGTAGGACTTATATGGGGAAAAAAGGAGAGAGAGCAACCAACCCCTTTCTTGTTTTTGATACTTTTCTCAAAGTACTATATCTATATTGAATCAGTCCAAATTGATATAAAACAATAATTACATATTATTAATTAAATTGTTAAAAAAAAAAAGATCATAAAGAAGTTCAACTCCACCCTAAAAGCTATAGAAGTGACAGCTCATTATAAATTGGCTGTCCCAGACTTTTCTGTGCCATCTAATGCTTTGCTGCTTCATAGGTTGAATGCTTAAACGTATAAACATATCTGCTTGAATTGCTATTCAATTAAAAACGTACGATTTTGCAATGATTCACATTAATGATCCCCCCATTGGATCGGATTGCATTGTGCCCGGTCTGCATTCACACACAAATATTCATCACATACAGTTAGTTAGGTCGAGTAGTTAATTCTTTCATCACTAATATTTACCAACTTCTTCTCAACATTTTCGAAATTTGGTGGTTCAACTCTTATTCCCATGCAAGGTCAAAAAAAAAAAAAACTCTTATTCCCATGCCTCTGACTCAAAGCTACTATTCAATAAGTTCGTGCTTTGTATTAGATACTCCTCCGCTTATTAACATAAGACCTATTTAACTAATTTAATTAGAAAAAATATGATATGTTTTTTCTAAAACATCATAATCATCTTCTTTAATATCTTCTCTCCTTCTTTTACTTAATTATGATTGGAGGAATACCTATAGAGATAATTTAGAAAAAATTGATAAATATGATAAATGTGTCTTATATTTATGACCAAAATCAATTGAATAATTAGGTCTTATATTAAGGACCGGATGAGCATGAGATTTTGCGTTAGGAAGGAAAAAAAAGACAAAAACTTGTTGAGACATTTGCGAAAATAGCACTACTACATAAAAAGCTAATTGTAGAGCTTATTTTTTACTTTTGCAGCATTTTCAAATCGCTACATATAAACTTGCGACAAAAGATATTAGGAATAAGCTGTAGCACTTTTGAAGCTACAAAATATTTTTTTATTTTTTTACTATGGTAACTTACTATAGCGCTTTTCTGAAAAAGCGCTACAAGAAGTTCATCTTCTACAGTGCTTTCTCATGAAAGCGCTACAGAATATAACTCTAATTTCTGTAGCGCTTTCTTAAACAAACACTACAAAAGTTTTTTTGTTTAAAAAAATTAATTGATATTCTGTAGCATTTTTTTAATAAAATACTATAGAATATATAATTGTTTAGAAAAATATTTTTAATATAATTTCTAAAACCACATTTAATGTTAATTTAGGCAACTGATTATATTATATGAATGCATCTGTGCATGAAAAGGACTAGCTGTAAGCAATCTATAGTCAATTATCTTCTTATAATATGATTATCTGTTCGTGACAAGTAGGAAAAAATTCACTTCAATTTCCTGTTAATAGACTATTGTCCAAAATTTTTAATTTTTTTCAAACTCAACAATGGGTTCAAAGGTTTGTACCAAAAAAAAAACAATGGGTTCAAAGATTTTTACAAAACAAAATTTGGACGGATGAAAGTAGCAAACGAGCATAGTTGTTTTCTTACCGAATGAATATTCTATTTGAGAATTTAAAGCTTTTATTTTTTTTTTTTGGGGGAGAATGACAATGTTGAATCTGATTGGACATTTAATATCAAACAATGAGCTATCGCTACTTAAACTTCCAATTTCTTACTACCCAAGCTTCTAATTTTTACAGCTTTTCACAACTATAAAAGCCCTTATTAGATATTAGTTTTTAAATCAGTCCTCAATTTCCATTCTCCCATTTTTTTTCTCGCATGGGGAAGCCTTCTTTCTTTTTGAATGATATAATGGGATTAAAATTTGATTAAGATAAAAAGAACAGTGACTTGCTTGCTCAAGTGAGTAATCTTGAAAGAAGAACTGTTTGATGGTGCAGAGGCAGAGTTGTTCAAACGTAAGCTGATGATAGAGTCTTATTGGTCTATCTTCCGCATGTTTAATGTGTTCTCACTGAATAGTAAGGATTGGGAATAATTATTTCTGTTATATACCATAAGTTCCAGCCCACTTATGATTACTTTTGTTCATCACAATTCCTTTTATTGACTCTGTCTGCTTTGCATGACTGATAAGCTGTCCAGTGGGTGCTTGAAGTAATTATGTAATTACTTCTCTTACCATAACTTTGAGCATAATTTTAACTATTTTTATTATTTTGTTACAGAAATGAAATGTGAAGGTGACTCAGGTACTTATGCAGGCCATACATCTGAGTTCCTTGCACTCGAAAAAGCTAAGACTTTGATCTCATGAAGCATGCTTCTTTTGATTTATTGACATCTCTGAAGATTCGTTTATAATTCTGAGTAGCGAATTGTGGTTTTTAATATCCTCCAGCATGCATAGTGCTGGTCTATTTGATAAAATGACTTGTATTAATTAGCTATTATAGAATGAACTGCGCTTTCCTCCAAAAAATAAAAATAAAAATGTTGCATATTTTGTTGGCCCGCCCCAAAAATACCACGGTGGACTGGAATGTGCTTCTAATTAGAAAAGATCCCTTATCATATGTTTAATTATTAAATAAAAATAGTATTCGATTAAATATGTATTTCAAATAATAAAATATTATATAATTAATAATTTTTTAAAAATAATCCAATAATAAAATATTTTTCTGCATTTATGTGATATTTAATAATCATTGCGTCATAACTCAAAAACAGAAATATAATCACTCATAACCCAGCTTCTTTTGCTCATTAAAAATTCAGCTAAAGTATATATTTATTTCTTTATCTTTATACAATATTTTATCTTGGTTTTTTAACTTTAAAAAGTATATTTCTAGTCTTTTCATTCTAAAATCGTTAATCTATGATTTTTGTAATAATCATAGCTGTTTTCAAAATTACATTTAATATGTTAGTATTTGAGAATGTTTTATCAATACTTAAGATCTGAATAACATCATTTTTGTTAGCAGTTTTAAAGTTAAAAGACTAACAATATACTTTTTAAAGTTAAAAAATTAAATTTAAATATTATGTAAAATTAAAAAACTAAATGTATATTTTAGTTTTAAAAATTTTTTTCTGTCTGGTAGAAACAAAAAAAAGTGTAGCTAGACCGTCCCTTTGAGTTCACTGCACCTTGTACAAGCTCATGAAACATTTATTTTGCTAAAAACAAACAGGTCCTTAGTTACTATTTTTGTTTTTGGCAAACAAATATGTAAGCCAAATTTTTGTTAAGAAAAACTCGTTACTTTCCGGAGTCACCTAGTGTAATTTTGAACATTTTGCTCCTCTAATTTTATCTGTAGACAAGAATTTTTTTTAACTATTTATAAGTTATATTATTAAATTTTTTTATATAACTATATAATTTTACTCTTTATTTATTAAGAAGTATACTTTCTATTTTTAGGATATATTATATATTAAATAATAATAAAACTAAAAAATCATTAAATTTTCAAATAGAGGCAATAAGATTTAAAATTTTCATGGTTATAATAAAATAGTATGTTGAAAGTTACTTATAAATATCATGTTTAGTGTATTTTTTTAAATGGTATACTTTTTTATTATATTCTTAAAAAAAGTCAGCTTTCCAAATTTGACTTTTGCTTTTGTTGCCTGCTGCGTTGCTCTAAGCCATCAGGGAACCCCATTGACTTTCATGTTTTAATAAGTAGATAACTTGAAAGAAACAAATGCCACGATCAGTATTAAAATTCTCACGGAAGAAGAGAGAGAGCAACGTTCTTGAATCCTGAAGATGGGCATTGTCGCTTCATCCTCTTCCTCTTCTGCACTTTCTTCCAAAAAGTATGATGTATTTATGAGCTTCGGAGGAGACAACACCCGCACCAACTTCACTAGCCATCTTTATACTGCCCTCTGCCGCAACAAGATAGAAACCTACATGGATTACAGACTTCACAAAGGAGATGAGATCTCACCTGCACTTATCCAAGCTATCAAGAACTCCACCATATCTTTGGTGGTGTTTTCGCAAAACTATGCTTCCTCAAAATGGTGTTTGGATGAGCTCACCCAGATACTCCAATGCAAAAGGGCTCAGGGGCAGATTGTTATTCCTGTGTTTTATAAAGTTGACCCTTCAGAAGTGCGGAAGCCAGAAGGGGCTTACAAGAAGGCATTTGAGAAACATGAGAGAGCTTTTCGTCGCAACATTCACATGGTGAACAATTGGAGAAATGCTCTTTTTGAGATGGCCAACTTAGCTGGGTGGGACTCTCAAACTTGTAGGTGCGTATTCATCCCCCTAAATTTGATGCTCTTCTGGTAGATACTTTTGTTTTCAAGTGTTAATTCTTTATCTATATCTATCTATCAATTTATTTTTGGTTCTTTTCCATTGACTAGGGATGAATCAAAGCTCATTCAGAATATTGTCAACTATGTTTTAAGGAAACTGAATAATAGGTATCCATTCGCGTTGAAAGATCTTGTTGGAATTGATGAAAATTGCCACTGTATTGAATTGTTGCTGCAAAAGGCGCCAGTATTTGGAATCTGGGGTATGGGTGGCTTAGGCAAGACAACCATGGCCAAGGTTGTCTTTGCCAAACTTTTTTCTCAATTTGAAAGTAGCTGCTTCATGGAAAATGTTAGGGAAATGACAGAAAAGCATGGAATAAGTTATGTACGTGATAAACTTATATCGGAGCTATTAGATGATGAAAATTTGCATGATGGCCCATCTATAGTTTCAGGATCCACATTTGCTATGAGGAGACTTGACAGGAAAAAGGTTTTGATTGTGCTTGATGATGTATCCCATTCAAAGCATCTAGATAGTCTGGCTAAAGAATGTGGTAACTTGGGACCTGGCAGTAGAGTCATCATAACAACAAGAGATAAGCAGGTACTTGCTGGAAGAGTTGATGAGATACATGAGGCTAAGGCGCTGATTGATCATGAATCCCTAAAGCTATTCTGCTGCAAAGCCTTCCACAAAGACCACCCAGAAATTGGATATGAAGAACTATCAGAAAGGGCGGTTGCTTATGCCAAAGGGATTCCCTTGGCTTTGACAGTCTTGGGTTCATATCTTCACTCCAAGACTACCAAAGAATGGGAAAGTGCATTAAGAAAACTGAAAAAGACTCTCAATGAAGATATTCAAGAAGTATTAAAACTGAGTTATGACGAACTAAATGACGAGGACAAGGAAATGTTTGTAGATATTGCATGTTACTTAAAGGGTGAATGGGAACGAAATGTTATAAGATTATTTGAGAGCTATGGTCTCCATGCAAGTATTGGCATAAGAACCCTTTTAGATAAGACTTTAATAACTCTTGACTCCTTTAGAGTGCAAATGCATGACCTAATACAAGGAATGGGCAATGAAATTGTTCGTCAGCAGTGTTTAAAAGAACCTCGAAAAAGGAGCCATTTGTGGAATCATGAAGAAGTTTATGATGTATTGAAAAATAAAAAGGTAAGATAAAGGACTACTATTTACTTTGTTGACCAAGTTTGAGTAGGTAAAAAAAAAAAAAACACAATAAAACAAAACAAAACAAAAGAAACCAGTACAATATGATACATTTATACTTATCTCTTTTCTTCCCCCATATTTTATGTACTACAGGGTACTGATGCAATTGAAAGCATAACATTTGATATGTCTCAAATTAAAGAGGTATCCTTGACTGCTGATGCTTTCAAAAATATTCCTAATCTCAGAAGTCTCAAATTATATTCCACGTCTCCTAAAAACTGTGCAAACCTTCCTTCCGGCCTTGAGTCATTCTGTGACAGATTAAGGTACTTTTATTGGGATTTCTTTCCTTTGGAATCCCTTCCAGCATCAACCTTCTGTATGCAGAACCTTGTTGAAATTCACATGAAGTATAGCCATGTTACAAAATTGTGGGATGGTGTACAGGTATATATTGACAAACACTCGCAAATGCACACACAAATCCATGCCATTGTTTGAGAGTGAAAACACCATTGCCCTTGTGGACACTGGCATTCCGGTGATTAACTTTAACATCCTGACGAAACCTGCGCCAATCTTCCAATGCTTCCTTTGCCATGCTAAGCCCAACAACAAATGCTAGAGGAGCAATCATGCTGACTGGAGAGAATGGTGAGATTGGAGAGGCTGAGAGGCATGCGGCCACAAGGAAGTATATATTAGCAACCCGTCGAAATTGCTCATAGAGTGCTTTAGGTAAAAATGTTACAACATTGTATTTTGTAGTTGATATATCATTCCGGCAGTAAATCTGAGGCTTCTTCTCAGGGAGATGAGGGTGGTTACAATGTACAACTCTTGAAAAACCAGGACCTTGAAGGTTTTGAGCATTCTCATGTGCAGTGTGAGTTCGTCTAAGACAAGCAAATGTGTAAAGATGGCTCCTTTTAATCTTTGCTCTTAATTTACGTAGTCCCATTTAGCCAGATTTCAGCTCAATGCGGTAATCGTTTACACATGCCAACTAAGAACAACCAAGTGTAGCCTTTAGGAACGAATTATCCCCAGTTTCTTCTTCTAAAGCCTAATAAGATAAGCATTCGAAAATTATTAACCACAGCACATAAGCATGATCGTTTGATGCATAAAATGTCTGTATAATATGTAAAGTTGAATAACTTGAAATTAAATTATAAATTCACGCGTAAAAAACAGAGAAAGAGAAATGAAATCCGGGGTAAAATCAACCATTCAAATTCGCAATCATAAATCAGTTAACAACCATGCCCTCCAAATATTAAAAATAAAACTACATAAAAAAAATTGGCCAGCTACTATCTCTTCCCGACTAACTAATGCATTCATGGTTCTTAGCCTTTTCCAAAAAAAAAAAAGTGTAGCAGAAGTAAAACGAATCCAGCTTAGGCAGAAAGACAATTATTAATACACACGTAACCAAAAGCTCCAAATTGAAAAAGAAAATTCCTTTTCTGTAAAGAATCGACAAAGCTTCAATATACAGGTTATGAATGTGAAAATATGAAAAAGAAAATGTACCGAACGCCAGTGAGTCGTTCATCTTCGAAATGCGGCAACGGGGGACATAGGACGGAGACATGAAACATCAAAGGAAATTCGAGCTGCAGATGGAAGGAGACAAAGTCTAGAGAGAGAGTCACTAAAGGAACACCAATCGAAGAAAGGGAGAGAGACAGAGGACAGTGGCCTCTATCTCGCTCCCCCTTCCCTCCGGCCTCCTCAGAAGTCGGAAACAATGTCAGGAATTTTCGGTCCCTCGTTTCCCGCTACACGTATTTTCTCAAAAAATTTGTTTCAAAAGTTATTGCATTATTTGCAAGATTTGAAAGAAAAAAAGTTCGTGAAATAAGCAATTTTTTTTACATATTAGCTCTCGTCATTAATATAAGATTTCGTTTAATTTTTGTTTTAATTCTAAATATAAAATCCCAACCCACTTTGTGTCTTATATATTTTTTTCAAAATAATCCATCTAATAATAGTAGTTCTAACTAATACACTTGATTAGTAAGAATATTTTAAGAAAGACAACACATAATTATTACAAATAACCAACCTAACTTACTTTCTTAATCTTCTTAAATTAGTCAACTAACTCTTATATTTAAAACTAGAGGTAGTACTACCTCTGGTCCTAATTATACAAACCAGTTGACTAATTTGAGGAGATTAAGAATGTAGGTTGAGTTAGTTATTTGTCCTAAATAGGTGTTGTCTTTCTTAAAATATCTTTGTTAATCAAGTGTATTGACTAGAACTATCATTGTTAGAAATGTTATTTTGGAAAAAAAAAAGTATAAATATGAGAGACAAAGTGGATGGAGGTCTTATATTTAGAATCAAAATAAAAGTCAAACAGGGTCTTATATTAAAGATCGGAGATAGTATTTTCAAAGTTATTTTTGCAACGCCTGTTTTGCCACATGGTTTTAAGAAAAAAAATTTTCAGCTAAAATTTTGTTCAAATGATAGAGGGTAAAGTCATTTTTTATGTATTTTTTTAAACATATATGAGTGATATTCAGTGCTATCAACAAATAACATGTTTACATTATTGTTGGATGTGAATAATTAAATCACATTTGCTGGGCTAAAGGTGGTTTGGGGGAAAAAAAAAAGTCTGATAAAAATTTGTGTTGTTGACTTTGAGTTTGCCAGAAAAGAAAAATTACCTATTTTAGGGATGATAACTGAAAAATTGATGTAGTGAATTGAATTCATGCATTATTAGATATAAATATTCATAGTAAAAAAAATTATTAGATATAAATATTAATAATTCTTTTGACATGATTTTTTTTAATTCATATTATTCAATCCCAGGAATTACTTAAGGTCTATTAAGTCTTTTTTTTCTTTTCTTATTGAGTAAAATGGTTCAAGTCTTTTCTCATCACCATGTTTGTTGCATGGATTTTAACTTGTATCTGTAATATATTTTCAATATTAATGGTGAAGTTGACTTTATTTTTTTTCAGAGAGTAATTATACATAATATAAATACAAAATTGTATTAAAAAAGATAAATTTGTGGTCGCATCTAACATTAAAACATAATATAAATTTACATGTCTCAATAACAAATTTAACGGCAAATTTATTTATTTTTCTAGAAAATATTTTAAAAGTAATTTAATAATTTTAGAAATCTGCTAACCGAAATGCCCCGAGTGAATTTTCCCTTCCCTTCCCTTCCTCGCTCCTTCCTCCTTTGCCCTCCGTAGAAGCGCGCCAAAAGTTCTTCCCCATACCGTTAATGCCATGCTTTCCCAGAACACAAATCCAGCAAGAAAAATGAAAATCGAAATACACAACTGTTGAAACAAATATGAAAATAACGGAGATGAAAACGAAAATACCAGTGCTGGCAAAAGTGAAAATAATAATCTCTGAAAACAGAGGCAACGGAGATTGCTCGTGCCGCTGGAATCATCACCAGAGATGACGAAAATGAGGCGTAGGAGGAAATCGTTGCGGCCTAAGAATCTTGGGCGACCGAGGCAGTTGAAGAGAGGGATGGAGGTAGGGTTGGAACGGAAGGCGACGGGACGGCAGAGCATTAGGTGTAGTTGTGAGGAAGGTTGGCGAGGAGAATCTGGACGTCCGGCGATGAACCTAGATCTGATCGGGTGCGAGGAATGTTGGCCGCGAGGAAGGTTGGTGAGATTCTTGTCGCTCGACAACGAAGCTTTGGGGGGGGGGGGATGATGCGTCGGGACCGACAAGACAATGAACGCAGGGGGTGAGGATATTTTTTGAAACGTGATGTTTTCTGGCATGTGAGCGTGTTGCTGCTCATTTTTTAAGGGTATGATCACTCCCATAGATCATGGAATCTTCATCTATTCTAAAATCCACATCCCGACCTGAAAAGACTAACCAAACGGGCTTACCGTTGGAATGGAAAGACCATTCCCATTCTTTAGCTTATCAACAAATGAACCAAACGGTCAGTTAATAGTTAATCGTCTACATTATTGACAAAGTTTTGGAAATTGGAATTCCTTGCCGAATCTCTGGAAGTAGTAGTGCCTTAAAAGTCTAATTCCAAGATACTCAGTGAATATCTTATTTACTCTATGATTGATGAAGTCTTCAGTGCTTCTATTTATATAAATGATGATAGAAGATGGAATTATTCACGTGATAGTTATTAGCAGCAGTGAGGTGGTGCGGATGCTCTTTTGTTCTGTTCAAGAGTCTCTTTTGTTCTGTATTGATGATTGTCCTTTTCCCCCCGAAAGGCGTCTGGATTTATTTGACCTACAAAACACGTTAATCTTTAAATAATGATTTTCATTGGCATTCGTTTAATTCCACTTCGTCTAAACTATTACGTATTTAACCAGATTAAAAAACTGCAATTGATGGCTTTTTCTTTTGTCTTTTTTAATGACCTTAACTTGGTGAGCTTTAGTCAAATATACATATTACACGGTTATTGGTTTAGGTGTAAAATCCTCCATTCCTGAAAGTTTCATATCTTCAGTATATGTTCATTTGGCTCTGAAGAGTTAAAAGTCAGTCAACTCTGATCACTGCCTCACGCCTTCGTCACCATTTCAATATCATGGCTGCTACTGCTTCTTCGTCATCTTCCTCCTCTTCCTCTTCACTTCCTCCCAAGAAACATGATGTGTTTCTTAGTTTCAGAGGCGAGGATACTCGCAGAACATTCACCAGCCATCTCTTCACTGCCTTGTGCAAAAGAGGAATTCGAACCTACATAGATAATGAGCTCAGAAAGGGGGATGACATCTCAGACGCACTCATCCAGGCAATTAAAGATTCAAGTATGGCTGTGGTGATCTTCTCTGAGAACTATGCCTCCTCAAAATGGTGTTTGAATGAACTTATCCAGATCCTTTGGTGTAAAGAGGTCCAAGGACAGCTTTTTATTCCTGTCTTCTATCAAATTGACCCATCTGATGTGCGCAATCAGAGGCGAACTTATATGGAGGCATTCGCAAAACATGAAAGAGACTCCAGGCTTAATCAAGAGAGGGTGAACAAGTGGAGACAAGCTCTCTTTATAACTGCAAATTTGGGTGGCTGGGACTCTCGAACCTTTAGGTCAGTATGGTCTCCTCACTCTCTAAAATCTTTAATCAATTTGTGCTTGGTTAGCAATCAATTAACTACAGTTTTATATTTCTATCCTTTTTTCTTTTCTCACTGGCCAGAATTTAAATTTTCTTTGTCCATGATTTCATATCTTAAATATTTAGATCTTGACAAATAAAATATTTATATCATATCAATAATTTTGATGACCATTTACTTCTAAGAAATACCAACAATTGACAGCTTCGTGAGTCGCATTTTCCGACAAAAAAATGTTGAGGCCATTACACGATACTCATATTTTCTCTTCTTTCATTCGGAGTGCCTCTGGAAAAAATTCGTTTAATGTGTTCGAGTTTTACATTGTGCTACCATTCAAATCAATTGTTAGTGAAGACAACAAAAATAACGATGTCATTGATTTTTTTTGGCCCCCTTTAATTGATAGTCCATTTGTTTTTATCAATATCTTTCTGTTTTTTCCCCTCTTACAATAATACTTTCTTTTATCGGAGAAGTTAATGAATGTGCCTACTTACTTGTCAGACAAAAGCTCATATTGCTTCTGCTGATTGCAATCACTCTATAGCCGCCTAAATTTTGTGTGGCTTTCCTTGAAAGGGAGAGGATATTATCATTAGACATGTTTAATCTGTTGTTTGCTTGATGCAGCTTCTCTTTTACCTTAAAAAATAATACTTTCTTTTTTGTCTTGTTTATCTTTTTTCATATTTTAGGGACGAATCAGAACTCATTCAAAACATTGTCAACCACGTTCAGCAAAAGATTAACCTCAGTTATCCAAGTTCATTGAT